GGTGTACGGATTTCATATGGAATCACCTCTCATGGGTTGGCATTCAACATTGATCCAGATTTGAACTATTTCAAGCATATTGTGCCTTGTGGCATTGCAAATAAAGACGTTACATCATTGAGAAGGGAGACGGACTTAGCGCTTCCCACCGAAGAAGTAGTTCAGGACCAGTTGATTTCTTGTTTTGCAAGACAATTTGGTTATAGTGATCTTGTATGGAAGGATGCTACTTCAGTATTGTCAGAGAGCGGGGAAACTGAATGAGATTCTACAATTGTATGCCAAAAACGAATAAACGATGTAAGTTTTATACTCTTCCATTCATTTGTTTGTTAAAACAATTGATTTGAAAATTGCCGGATTTGTACATCTTGTATTATAAGTAATGTGGAGAACTAAGCTCAAGTGATGAGGAAGGGTGGGAAAATGGGTTTAAGCATTTGACCACATCAAATGTATCCGAAAAAATGTATTGCGAAATTAATCTGTTCAGTAATTTCCGTTCTTGCTTCCTTTTTTTGTCATCTTTAGCTGGTAAATTGCTCCTAATACAGGATAGTAGCTTGTGGTGAATCTATGGTGTTGAAAACTCCTTTCAGCCTCTACACAAATCCTAACTTGTTTGATGATAAAACCATGCCCTTCCAATTTGCATGTTTTACTTCTTCTGTGCTAGGATATTTTGCACTAGTAGTCCCCGACTGCCCATAGTTTCTATCCCTATGGTTTTTTCCTTGCATTTTTTCGTCCTTATAGTTTCATTCCTGTCAAAATGTGGCAAAATTTCTTCCAAGTTGCATCTTCAAATTAGAAAATGTTGACCAAATGGAAGGAAAACTCTAACTTAGTTGACGGATTGGAATAAAGCAAAAACATAACGAAATTACGGGGACGGAAATGCAAGAAACAAACTTCATGATGATAATCCTACAGACAGAGATCTTCTCCCGATCTCACTGTCCAGAGCTGAAGGATCAGGTGATCTTGACCACTCAAATTGAATTCAATGGCCCCTATTAACTCATTATGCTGGCCCACCTCACACAAACCTACGACTCCGATCTCTCTTTCACACAAATCGAAGACTCAAATTCTCTAGTCCTAAAGCTTCGGACATCAAAATCCGGAGAGCATCCAAATTCATATCATAGTCCAGTTGACAGACCACATGCTCTCTTTTTTACCTCTCCATAAAGATTCTTTAATCCACGTGTACTTCTGAATCAATCAAGCAAATGGAAATCTTCCAAAGAAAAAAACTTGACCAGATTTATTCAGCATACAACTCTCAGCAGTTTCATTGACCAGATGTTACTCAAATAACTACAATTTCCTTCTTCAACCTCCTTCACTAATTGGTCTTCTGTCTATACCACGTGATACGGGCCAATGACATGGCTGATATATCTTATTTTTAGGGTATTTTATTAAAAAAATAAATACATTTTTATAGTTTGAGTAGTTTAATAATACTACCTGACAGTGTTCTGATACATCAAAACATCTCTAGATACGGAAGAAGAAGTTAATTATAAAAATTTGATGAAAACATGATCAATAATAGGAGTCTTAGGAGTCGAGATCATCTCTGGATTTCTGTGTCCAGAGTCCAAGAACTCAGAGATCTGGATAGTTAAAGAGAGAGAAAGAGAGATCCGAACACTTGGTTTATGTGAGGTGTGCCAACGGAATGGACCAATGAGGATCGAGTGATTTAAAATGAGTGGTTTGAATTTTCAAGTTTGTCGGCTTTGGACTCAAGGATCCGAAGATCTCAATTCCAATAATAGCACAAAACTATTATAAATAAGGTGTAGATTATAAATTTATATTGATCCCAAATGGGACTAATTATATTTCAGTGTAAGACTAATCCAAATCACATACTTTAATAAAAATAAATAAATCATGGCTATATTAGAAAATGTATGAGTCAGCTTGATGGAGTGATGGGGCTTGGGCAAGTTGATAATGGTACTAAAAATAAATTGCTCTCTTACTGCTAAAATCCATGTTCTCTTTTCAACCCATTTCTGAAACCAAGAAAAACCATGTGGCTTCCAAGGGGAAAGAACAAAGCTTAATATAATGCAAGGCTAAGAAAACGAGGACTTTCTTACCAGAGTACGTACTTAAGCGGTTAAGAGTACTTCGCTTCTACACAGACTACACTTGAGATGTTGTGTTTGGAATTTTGTATCTGCCATTCTAAGTAGTGATTGCATCAAGAAATATCTTAAGAGAATTGTGTGGGATAAAATGAGTGTGTGGATAGCATTATCATTTCTATATAAATGGACAGCTAGGTTCAATTGTTTTAGTTGAAACCATCGTATATGACAATCTACGTGATTCTGTATTTCTTGAGAAAGGAGCTTAGCTTAGCATATGTGAAAACTAAGTACTAATTTGAACGGATTCTTTAGTGTGATTGTAACACAGGACAGTACACCACATGTCATTATACAATTAGAAGAATATTTTTATTTCAAATGTTCCTCCAATTATATAATGATATATAATATACCGCCTCATATTTCAACCACACTAAAAAATCTCTCACTAATTTAGAAGGATATAAATAATAGATGAAGAAAAAGAAGATCGGGAAACGTAAAAGTTGGAGGAACAGAAGAGAAGATGACAGTTCGGTGGAAGATTATGGTTGTTTCACGTTTGGAAAGCAAGATTACACAGCCATGTTTAGCTGTATGTTTGTAATTGTACTACTACTTAATATACTATATTAGGGTTCGATTTGGTCTCATGTGACTCATCACATGAACAAAATATATTCAAGTTCTGCAGATAAGTCATTGAAACTGACACAACTCACTCAGACTCACATGATCAGCTGCTTCCTAGTTCTCACCTGCTGCACGAAATATCTCAAAAGGCCATGTTACTAAGACTAAGAGATACTGTAGGGTTTTCTATTAGCAATATTATAGTGTTGGTCACAGACGATACGATCATCGTGCGTTTTAACTTTTTCATATATTAGTATTGAGATTGCTCGAAAGTTATCTTACATTGTTGATTGTGGGTCATGTTAGTAAGACTGAGAGATACTGTTGGGTTGTCTACTAGCAATAGTATAGTTTTGGTCACATACGATGCGATCATCGTGCGTTTTAGCTTTTTCATATGTTAATGTTGTGATTTCTTGAAAGTTAACTTACATTGTTGATTGTGGGCCATGTTAGTAAGACTTGAGAGATACTATGTACTAGCATAGCATAGTTTTGGTCACAGACGATATGATCATCGTGCGTTTTAACATTTTCTTATGTTAGTGTTGAGATTTCTAGAATGCTATCTTACATGGTTGATTGTGCGAACTTGACGATTGGTACTGTAACTTTACGTTTTATTTAACTGCAACAGCGACGGTCTTGTGGCTCTCAAGTGGCTAAAAGTGTTGGTTCTTATAAGTTGTATTGAGGTTTTGTAACATCCCACATCGTTCAGGGGAATGATCCTTAAATGTATATTTCCATCCCTATCTAGCATGAGGCTTTTTGAGAGCTCACTGGCTTCAGGTTCCATAGGAACTCTAAAGTTAAGTGAGAAGGAGGCTAGAGCACTCATAGGATTGGTGACCTACTGAGAAGTTGTTCGTGAGTTCCCAAAAATAAAACCGTTAGGGCGTAGTCGGGACCCAAAGCGGACAATATCGTGCTACGGCGGTGGAGCGGGCCCAAGAAGTGGTTCGCCCCGGGCGAGGATGTGACAGGTTTTGTGTTCGGATCTTCTCTATATAACATTTCTTATATCAACAAAAGAAAAACAAATCTCATCTAATGTTGTTAATGTATTGACTTTCAAGACGGATTCGATTGCCGGAGTTTATGCATTTAGGGAAGATAAAAAGTGGTTCGAAGTGTTCAAACCGGCCAAATCGGAAACCAAACTAGTCCATGTGGACCACATCCTAACAATGTTGGTTATGGTAGTGTATCTGCCATTTGTATTAAAGTTCGAAAAACCTTATCATAAGTTAGGGTAGATTAGAATATTTCTGCCTTAAGAGAAGAGATTAAAAAGAAAAATATTTGGCCACCAAATAGGATCATGGCAGAGAATGTTACTTGAGTTTAGATTGTCTTGTAAGAATTCTTGCAACCTTTTTCTCATCCTACAATGTTATATAATAATTTGAACCGTCAATTTTTATGTTATCTTTAAAAAATCATCTTTCTAAAAGGATTAATTAAATATGAAGTTCTTTAGTCATCTAACAAATGCGACTAAACATTTATCTAATAAACAAACTATATTTCTCATTTAAACCCTAAAATTTCAACAATGATAATCAAAAGTTTCAATCATTTTTAACGTAGTTGATTTTTTTTTCAAAATTGATTCTTTAAGAATGAGAGAAATTAAAGGCTCGTATAAGAATGTTTTTAAGAGCTGGTTTGATATTGCTGTGCTTTGAAAAAAAGCTGCTTTTGTTGTGCTATGAGAATAAGCGGTTATGAAATAAAGCTGTAGAGTGTTTGGTAAACTTTTTTGTAAAAATGCTTTTGAAAAAAAAAAACAGTATTATAGTGTTTGGTAAACTTTTATGTAAAACAGATGTGAAAAAAACCGGTTTTTCAAAGCTAGGTTTTTCATCTTCTTGTTTTTGGCTTTTTCTCATCCAAAACTGTGAAAAAAAGCTGAAGTTGAATGTTTACCAAATACAAAAAAGCTCCCAGCTTTTTTTGATACCAGCTTTTTTTAGAATCACCTCAGTACCAAACCAGGCCTAAATGACTGAAAATGATTTTAGAGAACGTATTTTTTGGTTTCAAAACACTTAAAGTGTTCTTTTTAGAGTTCACTTGTTTTTTTATTAAGGGTGAGTTCAAAAAATATTTTCATCAACTACGATTCAGCCATTTCAAAAATACTTCAAAACGAGCCATAAATTTTCCGACTTCAAACAACATTACAAATTAAGAAAGAAAATTAAAATGGTAAAACGAGAAAACGAGAAAAATACAAAATTTCTGTCCCGTTTTTATGTTACATTCAATCTTTAAAACAAATTACCAGTAACATGCACCGCCATTTTTGGGCTTCGTGATATGTATAAGCTCTCTAGACTCTGTTCCTTCCATCTCCCTTGTATTTCTCTCCATCACACCATGAAAACCACTCACACAGTCCTACTCGCCATCTTCTCCTTCGTTCTTCTGCACACTGTCACATCTTCTTCCCCGCTGCAAACCCACCAGGAGCTGCTGCAGCTGCAAGTTCATCCCAGACACAGAAACCAACCAAGAAGATTACTGCTTGCTTCTGCAGTTGCTTCCTTCTCTGCAAATCCAAAGAATCCCAGCAGCAGCAAAGCAATGGAAGATCCCAAGAAATATGTGGAGGCTAGCTTAAGGAAGTCTCCACCCAGCAAATCGAATCCGACCCAGAATCGGTAAACTGGTCGATATTCGTGTAGGGATCCCAAAATAGAAAGAGAATGAAATTCCACAATTTTTGCAGATTTTTCTCAATTTTTTAACTGTTGTAGAGGTAGAAAGTCCAGATCTTTATTCAATGTTTTTGTATGTTCTTCTCTATTCGTTTATTTTGTTAGTTTTGTGCTAATTTTTTTGGGTTGTTAGAGTTAGATTTAGGAGGAGATGGGAAGAAATTGTATGTACTGAAGAACCCTGTAAGGATTTGTTAGAAAGATTATTGATTTGTTCGAATTTTTGCAATTGCCAAAATGGAAGTTTTCGCATTTCAATCCTTTTGCTACTGTTTTATATAGCCCATGTATGCAATTGATCTAACTTTATTTTACTTCTTGCTGTTGCGAGTTCTCGAAATGTATCTATTTGCCATTTTCTGTGTCCGAGGGCAAATATGAGTTCTTTGTGTCTTTAGAGACGCTTAATGCAGTGAGTTTGTTATTATCTTCCTTGAAATCATGGTTATCTCCAAGAAAAGAAATTCTGTATGTTCACGTTTATTGATTGGATCGGTTACTAGCACAAGTGCCTCCTGCTGAATTTGTGTTTTGGAACTTTAGAGTAAAGGTTCAGGTATATGACTTGTATTTTGTGAAATGATAAGGTACATGGAAAACTGCTACACACTGGTTGCTATTGCTGTGTTATTTTTGTTGCATTCGTTGATGTTTTACAAAATTCATACAGGTATGATAATGGATCCTTTAAACCACTGGTAGAGTCAGATTGAATGACCAACAGTGGTTAGCATTTGTAACTCAATGATTGTCCCGTTGCTTTCCTTATATTTTATGCAGGGTTGAAGGTCGAATTTGGAGTTTCGAGTTATTGTGCAACTGACTTACAAACATGGTAAATATTTTAACTAGTTTCTTAACCTATGAAATCTTTAATGTTCTGCAAGTTCAGTCCTTGAGCACCCGTGCTTCATTCGGTCTGGAAAATGTCTCGATAGGCCATTAGCTCTATGAATTCACATGGTATTTCTTTTAGCAGCCTGCTATTGTAGTTCAACTATTGAGGTACTATTGCTGGTAAGTCCAAGACATGTTCTTTTAAATAGCATTGAAGAATTTTCAGAATTAAATCTCTTTCTTTAATTAATTATTAACTCAGTTTTTCACAGAAAATAAATTATTGTATGGTTACAGATTTAGTGAATACATTTGTCACAGATTACATAATTTTAAGCACATATTATTGGTTGTATCTCAAAATTTTGATGTCAAACAAAGATCTTTCGTTCTAATATGAGGCCGGGAAGTGTGGTTTTAATTTAGTTTTAACAAATAATGATATTTTTCATGTTCTTACCTTTCTCGTTAATCTGCTTGTTCATTTGTAGTATACTTTGTTTATTGCTGAGTTATTGCTGTCACCAATTTTAAGATTAATGCTGTACTTGTTAGTGTGTTAATTATTTACGAAATTTGAAAATGTTACACCAGGTCCCAAACTCTTTAACAATGAAAAGGGTTCTCTGAGTAATACAATGATAATGTGAGAAACACCGTCTAATCTGGTCACCTCATGTACACGGCGTCTATATGAAGCATTTAACAAGCTGGAAATAAAGATAGTTCTACACGTGTAGTAAATGCGTTTGAGTGATGTACACGTAGTGAATGAACAAGAAAATCCGCCGGTTACATTGATTTTCACCAACTCTTCCTGAGGATTATATACCCTTAAGAAACAAATTTCCTCGTAGTATTCGCCCTGTAGGATTCCTCTGCAAACTTCACAGTCTTAGCTCCTTTTCCTTCTCCTTAGAAATTCCCTACATAAAGATGAGAATTCGAAATAGCCGGTCAAATTTTTCGCAGATGACTCCACCTGAGACCACACCCGGGGCTGCTCATCTTCGTTCACCAGAAGGTTCAGATGATCGCTTTTTAGTTGAAGAAGAGAATCGGCGCATTGGATGGTCCTGCCATACAAAAAAACAATTTCCTGCTCAAGTTTCAAGTGAAGATCAATTGCATGATGAATTGGAAGCAGCAAGCAGTACAGAAATTAGGCCCTTGAACTGTGTTGATAAGGGGAAAGATGTGAAACATTGCATGCAAATGGATACAAATCCGGTAATTAGTCTTTTACTCAAAATTTCATTTTTCACTTTAGGAATTTGCGATTTGTTGAATTTGCCCACGATCAATTTTGTTATTGTTTAATTTAGCGTGTTCTTGTCCAAGGTTCATCGCATCTGAAAAGTTAGGGCAACTAGTCAAGATTTACTTAATGTTTTAGAAGGTATGATTTTAATGTTATTTCATATTTAGGCCTCAGAGGGGCAGAGCGAAGGAGAAGCAGAAAAGGGGAAACAATTTACTGCATGTGCTGGTTCTCAGGGGTAACTTATTTCTTGTCCTTTCTCATCTCTCGAACCTGCCGAAATGTTTAATTGCCATTTATCTATTCTAATTTTGAAATATAGATACTTATCTAATCTGCAATTTTGAGATATGTGATGAATACATAGTTACATACACATCCCTATCCGCGTTCTCTTGTGATAGGACAGAATTTCCAGATCTGTTTATTTGTAATTTAAATAGTCATAAATTGATAGTGAAAGTAAAATTTTCCATTCACTTACTGATTTCTACAAAGAAGTTCAATCTGAGATCTATAAAATTGAAATAACTGTCTTTTTGCTGCAGGGGTGGAGAAAACGTAACTTCTCCAGTTACAGCTGGGATCGCTCGTCCTTGTTCTTTTTCGCATCTAGGTAAACTACTTCTATTAAATTAGATTCCTCATGGAGACCAAGTCTTGAGGGTAACTTTTCAGTGAATTTCTTGTTGGTTTAAGAGATTTGATGGTCATAATGGTCACAATTAGTTCTTATGATTGGGTTGAAAGGAATCCGAGTACTAGGGGTTCATTGTGGAGTAAATGAGTACATGTCTTATAAAGAGTCATATGATGCTATTATAGGGGAATGTAATGATAGCTAAAGCCATCATGTGTGTGTAATTGCTCAGTGAACATCAGTCAGCATGTGATGTATTTCAGCTCAATTGTTCTAGTTGCATTTATAGATTATATAAGTATCAATCGAAGTACATTATGGCCTTTAGAGGTGACATGTGCAAGGCACTAACATAAAAGTGTCTTAGACTGAAGCTGCATGTCGTTACATGTCTTTTTCGCTCTAAGATTTTCTTGTTTCATTGGCAACTACGTGGAAAATTTGTTGTTCTAACTTTTTATTTTGATTGGTGTTCTGAATTAGGTCAGAAACTTCCGTTTAAGAAAAGAAGACCTTATAGTTACACAGAGACTGAAGTAGAGATGGAAAGAGAGAAAGTAGAAGATGTCTATCTAGAAGTAAAAGTGGAAGATGTGGTAATGGAAGCAAAAGAAAAATGCATGCCAGTAGAAATTGAAAAAGAAAATCATTTTGCAGAAGTTAAAGAAGATGAGCCAGTTAAAGCGGAAGCTGAAGATGCAGTAGCTGATAAGAAAGAGGAATCACTGGAGGAGGGCGAGATACGAGAAGAAACTGCGGAGGAGACAGAAAAAATAAGTGAGCTTGAGCTGGTCAATGAAGGGTTGTATGTACCTCATCTGACCATTGATGAGAACCAGCAGGACATCAAAAATGAAGAACTTAATCTAGAAGAGACAGCAGGTGAACCAAATGAGAAGCCAAGAAGGGGAAGGAAAACGCCTAGATCTAGTGCTAGCACTAGCAGTGATGAGCCTCATCAGTAAGTATCCCTGTATGAATACAAAATACCCCTATTTATGCTTTCAAGTATGAAAAATGGTATGACTTTCACTGCTATGGATGTTCTGTTTTTACCTTGATGTTTCACAGAACTAATGTTCTTGAACTTTGCTTTGATGGAATTGTATGTATGTATAGAATCACTACATAAAGTTCTTCCAATCCTTTAATATTCGAAAAATGAAGGTTTTTTCATTTTTTCTTTTTCTTTCTTGGCCAGAGAGAAAAGAGTCTGAAAAAGCACATATATATTATCATTTACGGTTTTATGTACTGTAATTCATTTAGTTAAGGACAGTGTTGTTTTTTTTATTCTACTGAGACAGAGTGAATTTTGAAAGTCAAAGGCAACTGTATATATTCATGAGATGTTCAATTGCTCCTTCATCTCCGTCCATTTAATTGTATTTCTTCATGATACTCGCACGCTTTATGTGTGATGAGCATGTTTGTGTATGGTTTCCTAGTGGGTTTGGAGAAAATTAACAAATCTGACTATGAAGTATGAACACACAGGGGAAGGCAGAAGCTAAAGAGAGGAAGTCCAAAGAGGATGCAAGATCCAGCTGAGGAAAATCAAGGGTTTCTTCACATCCCTCCCTCCCCCTATATTCTCTCCCTCTCTCTCTCTCTCTCTCTCTCTCTCTCTCTCACGTGTGTGTGTGTTTGGACATGGATTTGTGAGATGGACATGTGTTTTGGATACATTTTTATGTGTTGTGTGCATGCATATATCCTCTACCTGCGGACATAATCAACAACAATACTTTCACTATGAAGGTGTGTAGAGAAGCGGAAGCCATTAAGAGGTTGCCCCAACAGGGGTAAAGAGGAATCATCTCTTTCAAACAATAGGTACCCAAGAAGAGGTCGCTCCCAGAGGGACACAGAGGAGTCCTTTCCTTCAAACAATAGGAAGCCAAGAAGGGGTCGCCCCAAGAGGAGCACAGAGGAATCACCTCATTCAAACAATACGTACCCAAGAAGAGGTCGCTCCAAGAGGGACACAGAGGAGTCCTTTCCTTCAAACAGTAGGAAGCCAAGAAGGGGTCGCCCCAAGAGGAGTGCAGAGGAATCACCTCATTCAAACAGTGGGTACTCTCTAGATACAGGGGAGTCATCTCCTTCAAACAATAGGAAGCCAAGAAGGGGTCGCCCCAAGAGGAGCACAGGGAAATCACCTCATTCAAACAATAGGTACTCTTTCTCCCTCTCTCTCTCTCTCTCTCCCTCTCTCTCTCTCTCTGGGTTAGAAATCTGTAACTAAATATTTAATAAAACAGGAATGCCGAAATGCCAAAGCCTAAGAGGGGAAGGCCAAAGAGGGTGAAGGAGTAACCAGCCAGCCAGTTAATGTAAAAACATAGTGACTCCTTCGAAATGTCTTATATCATTGTAAGACTTTGGTAGAGTTTCTCTATGTGTAATAAATAAGTCTGTAGTTTGCAAGTACATTTATTTGCCTTAGTCTTTTAGGATTTATGTTTGATGATCTATAACAGAAAAGACCCAAGTGAAAGCTGAAAACTTTGTGTAGTGCCTATTACCAATGTGTCAATGCAATATGCTATTTTTAATTATCTTGCTACCCTTATTATAAAAGTAACAGATATCATTGGTGGGAATTTATTGCATCACCTTCAGTTTCATCTTTGTTGTAGTTGACTGACTTTATGCCTAACACATTTTTCAGTTTCATTTGTATCCTGGTTACCTATGATACATGGTAGGCATTAGATCAAAAAAATGTTTTTGAGTATATCAGGATATTCATATAACAAATAAATTGAAAATTGCTATATTATTTATATCCTGAATATATTCAAGAACATTTTTTTTCCCAGAAAATTACCGTCGAGTGAATTATTTATGCATCTACATTTTTTCCAGCAAAAGCATTAGTAATTGACAATTTGACAGGTCTTCTTTGTGTAAGCAATCTCATGTTTATCTGTATGGCCAATTTAGGCATCAAAATTGTTTAGTTTTGGTGCATTAAACTCTTCTATGACTTGTCCTATGTCTTCTGTGTAGAAATTTTCATCGAAACAGCCTGATTTTCTTACAGGGAAGCTTACATGCTATCCTTATTAGGTTACCTAATATGTAGAATTGCCATTTCATATGAAATTTATGACTTATATCTGCTAGGATTTTCTTCTATGTCTTCAATGGAAATTAGATATATCAAAATTTAATGACATCTAGTCTCACATTTAACTTTTACTCTTTTACACTTTACGGGTTGAGAGGCACCGTGTAGCCTAGTAAGGTGAGAGGTTGTGTCAGGCCATCCACCAGGTGTAAGCCATGTAGAAATTTTAGCTTAAAATGCAGTTTACTGAGTATAAATTTCTGTTTCTTTCTGTCTTTATGTGAGTTTCTAGGTCTTTCCCTTGTGCTCATCTCTTGCTAGACATTGATTTTTCCTTCAGATTCACTAGTTGAAACAACAATCTTTTAGGAATTGCGTTGTATACAACGAGATCACATTGCCTCAGGTGTATTTTCTTTGTTTTTATCATATTTTTTCTTTGGTACTCTTGGATAATTTGAAAATGAGAATCAGGGGCAGACGGATTGTCAAAACTCCTCCTCCTCCTCCTCCAACTAGCTCAGTTGGTTCATCAGAAGATCCCCCAGCACAGCAAGATGAGCAAGAGGTATTATCGTTGCCCTTCAATGGTGCTATTTTTATGTCCTACCAAAGAAATCTGCATGATCAATCAATTAAAGAGGTAAAGAGGGGTTCAGATGTGCGAATCTGTTGCGATTTTAAATTCAGATGTGCAAATCTGTTAAGATTTTAAGTTGTTTTTATGTTAATTGAATAAACCAACCATCAATTCACAGGTAAAGAAGGATTCAGGATGTGAAAATCCGTTGCAATTTTAAGTTAGTTTTATGTTAATTGAATAAATCAAACATTGAATCACAGGTAAAGAGGGATTCAGGATGTGAAAATCCGTTGCGATTTTAAGTTATTTTTATGTTAATTGAATAAATCAAACATCGAATCACAAGTAAAGAGGGATTCAGGATGTGCAAATCCATTTCGATGTTATGTTATTTATCATTCTTGGGAATCTCAGATCTAGGTATGACTCTTAATCAAAGTCCTCTCAGTTTGTCGTTATCATGATACAAATTCTGCTCCACAATCTCAGATCGTGGTATCCTTGCCTACATCTTCAGATCTAGGCAACACCAGTAGCCTCATCAGTTTGTTGTTATCATGCACTAATTCTGTTCATTCTTTTTTATAGGACACTGCAGGAGGTTTAACTGAAGATGCTTATAAGGAGATCTCCGATTCCTATGTTACTCCAAGGTAAATTATTTTCTTAATGTAATTTTGTAGATTCATTGAGCAGGGCGACATCCCCATGACTTGTAGGCTTGAACTTGACAGTGAGACAGTGTCGTCATCTTTCATGTGTCCATCTGATTTAATGAAGGGGGGTCATCTCTACTCAACGTGTTACATAAATATCAAAATAAGGTTCCTGCGCACTCATGCAGTACGCGCGTAAAATTTAAATTGTATAGTAGTAACTTGAAACTGATACTTCGAAGGACACTATTTATTTTATCATGATTGTGAGGACATTTGGATGACTGTTTACACATATTGTTTACTTCAAGCGTTGTTAAATGAATTTCCTTTTTGGTGATCATACAGGAAGGGGAAAGTCTCGAATGCAGTTGTACCTGCCCAACAGATTGTAATTGTAATATCTTCTGATGAGGGTACGCCTTTTTTCGCTTTCTTTAAAGAGTTCAAGTAACGGTTATCTGCAAAATTAATAAATTTTGTATCAAGCACTAATTTAGATATAGAGAATACGCTTTTGGAAACATCTTTGTACAAAATTCGTACACAGAGAGGATCAGTGACTGCTAAACTAGGTGGACTTGTCTGCGTCATTTAATGGCATTATAAAGATGCTAGTAATATGGTAATTCTACAGAGAAAAGAAGTTCTTCAGATTATCGAAAACCGATTTTTTTTTCTTTCTAAAACCCTTCAAAGCATCAGTTAGCTCCTCAAAGAGTAGCCTACCCACTATTAGTATTATTTTTAGCCTTCCCTTTAGGATATTCACAAAATGCAACAGCCAAAAAGAAAGCGATGTCGTTGGGTAACTTCCATAGCCCTCCATGACCCAGTGGATATTTGTTACAATGGTGATTTGCAAATCAGGTTAGATACAGATCCCCTTGGCTCCCCAAAGTAGAAAAGAAGCATGGAAACAAGGGTCACATATGATATCTTATTCAATGGATAAACTTTGTCAAGAAAACACATTTTATTGATGTTTAAGTCTTTTCCCAATGTATCGTTTCTGTTCTAATAACTTCTGCAGATTGTTTTGTTGATGTACTTTGCTTAGTCTTGAGGAGGAAGTATTTTGGTCTTGGCTTGCCTTGTACTTCATGACGTTCACATATTATAATACCATCTCACCATTTTCACTCTATGGAAATGATTTTGTTGATAAAATACGCATATTACCATACTTTTTAGTGTCTTTCTCTTTGCTAGTAATCTTCTCCTTGAGTTTTGTTCTTGCTTTATTATGCATCATCTACTTGAAACTTATTTAAGAAGTAAATACTAGATTGTGATCTCAAAGGCCGCAAGATATGAAATTGCAAGAAAATTAGCCGAGTGTTTGTTGTTGTTATTAGGTTATGTTTTGTCAAATGCCGTTTCTTATTGGATTCTTAACATGGAAAAGCAGATGAACCTGCACTGAGAAGCAAGAAGGTAGACCCGGATGAAGTCACCAGCAAAAGGATCCGTAGGAGAATAGACAGCAGGGATGTCAATATGAGAAGATCTAACTGCACACGTAATGAGATGACTCAGGTCGGACATGCACGTGTACGCGCCTCAGGTGTGGCAAGGGCTAGGGGCATGCACAGCATTGTGCACAACCTAATGCCTTCTCGTCCCAAAACTGAAGAGGAGCTCGTTAAGAACGTTTATGGTGAGGCAAAGGCGGCACAAAGGAAAAGGGTCAGGCTTCTAAGAGAATTCTATGGTGTTTAGAAAAGCTCGAGGCGGCGAGGAACCTCACTTGGACTAAAGCAATGGCTTTCTGAGTCGCATGTTTTTCCGTTTCCTAGTGTCGTTGTTTTCGTCCGAGTTTGTTAAGGAAATTTGGTTTGTTGGACTAAACGCCAATGCTTTTCGGAGTTGCATGTTTTTTTTTCGGTTTTGTAGTGTCATCGTTTGTCTGAGATTTGTCAAGGAATTCTGGATTGTTGGATTAAAATTTTTCTATTCTGATTTGGACTTGAATTTCATTCTAGTTATCTTATAGACAGGGGATGCTATGATTCTATATGAACGAGTGTTCGACCTCGAGTGATCTCCACATGACTTGGAGTTTACTCTACCTTTGCCTCAGCTCCTACTTTCTCTGTAGTATTGAAAACGGATCGAGCTGAGGCAAGGGTTCATAATCTAATGAGCCCACGAGTCCATTTGGTCGCGGCAGCCAATATCCAAGCGGCTCGCCTTAAGATGAATGGGTGACCCGACTTGAAGGGATGAAATCGTAAAAATACTATGTGGACTCAACTAGTTATGATAAAGGAGAAGTAATAGGTCGGTAATACAAATCAATAAGAAGTCTTACACAATATGATTACAATTCTAATAGATAATATCTAAAGAATGATATGGTAGAATCTCACAAGATATCTCAATATTTAATAGAATTTACACGATCACATTCCTAGACCATCGGAAGTTGTATTTGATGAGAATCAAAACTAAGACCTCTCACTTACAAGTGAAGAAGAATACCACTAAACCGTAGTACTAAGTGGTAATATTATTAAAAAACTTAACACACTAAAAACACAAAAAAAAACTGCACTCAATTTCTTGACAAAATTTAGAAACCTTTGGAGATTATTGGCTGCCTGACCTCCTAAGTGGAAGATTTAGGACGTCCTTTTCGTACCATTAATCTTGAGGGTGTTGACAAATTGTCCAATGTAGTGTTGGTGCAGTTTGTGATCTCCAAAAACAGCTGCAGCTTTCCTTGCATTGGATCTCAGCTTCTCTCCTTGCTCTTCCACCATTGCATGCCTCAGTGTTTTGGCTATGTCATCTCTAGTAAACGACCCATCTCCACGTCGACTCCCTTCGACAGCCACACCCTTCTCCTCCAAAAGCCTTGCATTCAGAGGTTGATCAATGATGAATGGTAGCACAACAAGAACATGCCCAAATTGAAGTGTCTCAATCACAGATCCCCATCCAGCGTGAAACAAAGAACCCCCAACTGATGGGTGTGCCAAGATTTCCATCTGGGGCACCCACCCCAAGCAAACAAGCCCTTTCTCTGATGTACGCTCAACAAACCCTAGAGGCAGAGCGTCGGCATCACTATTTGCCCATTTGGGTTTTCTGAGTGCCCAAAGAAAAGGGAGTCCTGATAGCTCCAGCCCATGAGCTATCTCAAACACTCGCTCTTTACTCAACTTACACTCACTCCCAAACCCTACAAACACAACTGACCTGGTTTCTTGCGTATCAAGCCATTCGAAGATCGCATCGTCAGTGGAAATTTCCCTTTTTACCCCCTTTGAAGGTATCTCAGGAGGCAGCAGACCAGTGGGAATCACAAGCTTCTCAGTTTTGTTCTTGTATGCCTCAAAGTACTCTCCTTCAAACTCATTGCAACTCCGAATGGCTACAGCTCGACAAGCTGATAGAATCTTGGCGTACCTTTCGCCGTCACTTATCCCTGAACCATTCACTCCATATAGTGCCGCGTGAAAATGGACCGCCTCGTGCTCTCGGTATGCGACAGTTGACCGAGAAGTGACCAAATCTGGCGGCGAAGTAAGGGTTTCCAGCGGCGGGAGAACATCATTTGTTTTACCAATGAAGAAATTTTCAACTGAACGAAAAAGGGCAATTGAAGCAGCAGAGAAAACAGAAAAATAGACAAGTGGAACGCCGTACTCTTTGCCAATCTCCACAACCCAATGAGCAGCAAAGTCGGTTATGATCCAATCAGGCAATCGATCCCCGATGAACTGCTTGATGGGTTTTTGCAGGAGGTCGTATGCAATCTTCAAGTTGTCAGTGTTTTCAAAGGGGAGGTCAACCGAGGCCTCAGCTCCTTCCGGCAAAAAGTCGGGATCCAACGGTGGAAATGGAACGGGGACCAATTGCACAAAGGGTTGTAACTCTGGTAAGATTTTGGGGAGTCTTTGGATGTTTTTTGGTGTGGATATGAAGGAGACATGAACTTTTTCTTTTGCTAAAGCTATTGAAAGTTGGAAAAAAGGCATCATGTGGCCAAAGGCAGACCATGGGAGCATCACAACACTCAGATGATCATCTTTTTCCATAATTTCTTTATGGGGGATGGAATTTGCAATGAGAGAAATAACTTGTAGTTTTGAACCAGGTTGTCGGTGTATTAGACTATATGACCTTCTGTAGCTTTGGGGATTGTGCTACTCCTCCTCCTCCTGCCACATGCTCGTGTAAGGTGTCCCGGGCAGCCAGCATCGCCTGTTGAATTGTTGGCAGCTCTCTCGCGTCGTTTTTGATAATCATTTTATTTTCATTTTTTTAAATTAAAATTAAAATCCTGTTTGGTAACTACTTTCAAATGAAAACTGAAAACTTCCTTGAGTTTTTAAGATTTTGCCTTGAGTTTTTACTTTCAATTTTCATCTTTTGAAAATTGAAAGTTAAAAGTAACTACCAAACAAAGATTCCATGTTTTGAAAATTGAAAACGAGTGGCTATCAAACGGCCCCTCTTTTCTGAAACAATCCTCACATTGAAAAACGGCCCCTGTTTTTGCACTTTCACTAGTCTCTATCACTTGAAGACTCGTGGTTTTTGTTTGATCATGGAGGTCTGTTTTCCATCTTTTCCCCACTTATGTCGCACTAAGAACAAGTTTGACAGCATCTAGTTTCCAGCTGTATCCGTCCTCTTCTTTGCATTCACTTTTCACATTTTCCAGCTACGATGGAGGTTAAAGTGAAGACGTACGAGATTCAAGCTCTAATCTCGGATGCAGAGGAAAATTCTTCCAGCAACCCGAACTTGAAGTCTTTATTTTCATGCTCATGAAGTACTTAGAAAGCTGACTTTAAGAAAAGACACGGAGTACTTGGAGTTAACGGATGCCTTGGCACAAAACCGAGCACAGCAACATTGTAGGATTCATACTACTGTTTCCATGTATTGTAATAAGACTTTGTTGTTGCTGTATTTTGCTTCTTGCCTTTTGTTCATGTACCTTTCTGTATGTTTCTTTTTGAGCCCTATTGTTGAATTTTGACTGTTAGACTTGAATGGTTAGTAGGTGACACGCCCGACCCCGATATCCTCCAAACACTAGGGTAGGCACGTGCTGGCCGACACCCGAAGATGACGAAGCCATACTAACATGCATGAGAAGTAACAAACATAATTAAAACTTATAAATTTAAATACAATGATTATGCAATTATGGAATGTGTTCAAAGCATACAATTAATCCGAGACACTAGAAATGAATAATATAAAATTGAACGAACAAAGGGATGGGTCCTACACCTAGAGGACTCGAAGATGCTGATGTGAGAGTACCTTAATACCGAGATTGTACGCCTCGATTCTAAGTCATGAGAGGGCGCAAAACAAAACATGAGTGAGCCAAGTTGATATATAAGTAATACTAAAACAGTTAATCTTTAACGTACTAACCCCCAGGTTTAGAAAACTCATATAGCATAATAAGTAATAGGTTTTTCCGAAAACCCTAGCATGCCATAAAACCTTCATAAAACATATATCGTATATAGTGTGCTTAGTGGCATCATAATCGTCCGAAGGCACTACATCGCCCACCCGAAGACAATATATAAATCTTCCGCCGATAAACACTACATCTCCCGCCCGAAGGCAATATATAAATATGAATATCCATTAAGTAAGCACAAAAATCATAAACATAATCTTTCCAAAATATATCTCAAATCGGAGCTCACTAACTAAAACGCCATATCGTAAAACCACGTTCCTAAGTAGGTATATAGTCATCAATCATGTATACCACAGAGCATAAAATCGATAAAGCATGATAATTCATAAAGCGTGAAACAAATTTACTCAAAAACGTTTCATAAAAAATAGTCATAAAATCATGTTTTTCATGTATGCATTTCTAATAGTAAAATCATGCATTTTAGAAGAGTTCCACCCACCTTACACCGTTGGCGAAGAGCCGTGCAATTAAGGGTGGATGGAAACGCCACTAACAAACGCACATAAGCAAATAAAGGTACCAATTAATAAAACTATACTAAAACGGTTGAATTTCAGGAAACGGACATCATAAACGGATTTAGGACGTCAAAAAATATAAGGGGGGACCTCGGGTACCCTCATGCGCCGCCGCCACCGGACGGCCACACGCAGAGTTGGGTCGCCGGAAAAGTCACCGGCAGTCATTCAAAATTTACCAGTCACAATAAGAGCTTAACTATACCTTGATTATAGTCATCAATCCAGCCAAAACACCTATGCCATCACTTTTCAGGCCCAGATTCTGCACTATACTATAACCATGTGTTGTAAGTATTGTGTGTAGATATGTAGAATCTAATTACATAAAATATGTAGAATCTAATTACATAACATATGTAGAATCTCCACATCAGTGTTTTCTAAGAATTTGAAAGTGCAACAATAAGAAAAGACATACTTGTTTGTACAAATAACACGAAGGGAAAAAAAAAGGGAGAAACAAACGAAGTTGGAAGGGTAAAAACAACATCATAAGCATTTAACCCTTTATCATCTCGATAAGCACCTTTAGCATACAACGTTACTACAGCTTGAATTTGAATGAAGACCCCAACAAAATTGTATTTCTAAAACCTGGTCTCAACCTGAAATGTCAAACAACACCAAATCATGAGCCAACAATGCCACAATTCACAATATTTATTATGGTCCAGAATGATTACCAAAACAAAAAACAAACCATTTTTTCACGGTTCTTGGAAGGATTAAGAGGCGGGTCTGTGAGTGAAATCTGACACTCAGTAGGATGTATCTGTTGACACAAAGTACACAACAGAGTATTGTTATGAAACTATATATAACATCGAAATTCACAATCAAGGCCAACAAGGGTTTACCTTTACCTCACTGTAAAATGCAAGTATAACCGAAGGAAACAAAATATAGGAAACTTTACTAAAAAACTTCTAGTACTGTACATTTTAATGAAAAATCACATTTTTATACTAAAAAGTCAATCTTGATGCTATTTACTTTACCCTTAAAACTTAAAGTTTTCAAGTTATTTTCATTAGTTTTCCTTAAAATATATGGATATGTAGACAAAGTTTTCCCTTGTGCCTGTTTCCACCTACTTGGAAAATACTGCAGAAGCTGTAATTCATAAAATTCATAAGATAATACTCAGAAATCAAATACAAAATATCATCTCTTTGAGGTTATTTCTCCTAGTAATACAATAAATACAAAACCCTGTACCGATCAAACAAATAAAAATTAAAAATAAAATGAAAAACCAAAAGTGTGTACCTCGGGATTAAATCGGTGGGGGTTTGGAGAGGATAGATAGTTAGATGGGAGGAACTCGTGACAGGAGGCACGGCTGGCAGTGGCCGCGGCGGAGAGAGAGAGAGTAGACGATTACAAAGAAGGGTGCGATGTGTGGATGGTTTTGCTTTGCTTTCTTTCTTAAAGAGAGAGAGAGAGAGAGAGCGCTGATTGAGGTAGTAATTAGAAGAAAAGTAAATATTTTTATGGTTAAACATGTGATTTATAACTTACTCCTTAATAGTTATCTTGCACCAGAGAATTTCTGTCTCAATTCGTACACAAAAGTATTTATTCGTCTTCTGGGCACGGAGCTTTAACTGAACACTAAAAAGAGAGGTGGTTTGGAAGTTGTCAGGTACCATGAAAGATTCACCTTTGCTTGCATATTCTGAACAATTTGTACTCTCAGCTCCACCATCCAGTTTCCTGTTAAGAATGACAAGGATTTTACCACCTACAAAAGTAGGGATAAAAACACATAAAATACTTAACTCAATCAATGTCGTTTTCCGCAGGGGTTTGAATGAATAATTTATATAAATACCAAATCCTAATTAATTATTTAAAAGAAAAGTTTAGAAAAAAATGTGATTTAATGACCTAAAATATTAAAAACGAATTTAATTAAAAACAATTAAATAAATTGGGAAAGTAAAGAAAACAAAAGAAAATAGTTTTGAATATCAATTTGAGCATTAGGGTTTTGCCGTCACCTTAACAATCCTATGTAGTTCTTCCAATTACTTATGACTTACATATGCATATTTGAAGGTTAGGTTTTCCTAAAGTATATCCTACTTGGAACCTCCAACATAGAACGTATATCTAACATACAACCCATCCGTGGCGTCTAGATCGAATGTGAACATGCAAGACTCATTAAGTTTTGTGAAAACCTTCTGAAAAATAAGAAGTTACACATATTAACCACAAGAAGCCAGCGCCAATTTCAGGGACAGCCCTCCGCCAAAATTGCATCAAATTATTTTTTTAAATATCCTAATGGTGGCTAATCATCAAGACAATTAGATAGTTTCAAACACGGTGATTAATAATTCAAAACTTGCATGCATAATATCATAAGCAAATTGAAAAGAAACTATATATTCTTGTTAAGGCTCATGGCCTCGCCCTAACAAACGAAACTAGTTACTAACAATCATAAAATAAAATATTATTAAAAACATGAATAGACAACACTTTGAAAATAAACTTGAATTGTCAAAAGCTATCCAAAGCCAAAGTATTGCGTTCTCCCCTCTTTCTCTCTAAAACCCTAATGGCTAAAAAGCCATATTTATACTACTCTAATTAAAATCCTCTTAGTAAAAGGTCTTAGAATAAAACTAGGAAACCTAATAAAATAAAATAGAAAACATAATCTTAAATTAACTGGGTAAATTCGCCCAAAAATCTACACAGCCACGTTTTGGACCCAAATCAGCTCCAAAACTGGCCTAAAATAACTGGATTTAAAACTTGGACTATTCTAAACACTTCTCCAAAAGGCCATGAACCATTTGAGGTCATCTTGGGCTCCAAAAACGCAGTTTAAGCTAAAAAACGTCCACTTTCCAGCAACCCGCATTGATTCTATATTTAATCACCAAAAAATAACCACTTCGTAGAAAAATCCCAAATTTTGACATGAACAAACCAAGAGAGACACGAACGTCCTCCAATTTGAATCAATTAAAATTCATCCATTTGATCACGTTTTGCTTCAGAGAAAGTCGGATGTCCTATATTAAAAATATAAAGCAAAGTATCAGAATTCTACAAAAATAACCAATAAATTATAACTAAGATTATGGTAAAATATATAGTATAATATGGACTCATCAAAGAACAAGAACAAGAATTAAACATCACAAACCAAATCGAAAAAGAAAACGCATAAAGAGTCATACCTTCTCCCAAGCCTTCTCCACATCATATAGAGCTTGAATTGAACATTGTCTAGGAATTGGAAATATACATATCTCCACGTCCTTTTGAGAAGCAAAGGGCAACAGAATCCCAAGAACCCTACAACGAAACCAAGCGAAACGGATAACCCAACCCATAGACTTTGATCCTCATCGTCGTCCAAATCCTGGTTGTTCTCATTCTCATCTGCATCATTGCCATTACTTGACAAGCACTGGTTTGGAAGTGGGGTGCCGCAAAGTTTTGGATTCCCTTCGAATGCAGAGGCATCGAAACCTTGGAGCTGAGTGCCGGCTGGTATTCGTCCTTCAAGATTATTGTACGCAACAGTAAACGTAGACAAGAAATGGAGACTTGATAGTGATGATGGGATTTCACCTGATAGATGGTTGTTGTTGAGTTCTAATCTCTCCAACTCTGTGAGGTTGGATATTTGGTCTGGAATGTTGCCAGAGAAGTTGTTGATGCTTAGATCCAGTTGTTGAAGATATTGCAATTGGCCAATCTCAAAGGGTATGCTGCCACTTAAACTGTTGTTCCTGAGGGAGATTACACTTGGCATGTTGGCCAAATACTTGAACTGTGAAGACAGCACAGTTGCATTATTACCGCGTTTGAAGTAGACGGGCAACTCAATAGAACAATGGCCTGTTTGATTCGCATGCTTTTGCAATACTAATGCTTGTAGTCCGCAAAGCTCCCTTGGAAATTCACCCGAAATCAAGTTGTCATTCAACAACAAATAGAAAAGACTCGGAAGAGTCCCCAACCAACCAGGTATTGTGCCAGTGAGTCTGTTAAAAGACAAATTCAGGGATTCCAGTTTCCTGAACCTTGAAATCCATGCAGGTATTTGACCTGTCATATGACATGTACTTAAACTGAAAACACACAAATCTTGTAACTTGAAATCGATAGTTATATCTCCATCTGGCATTTCTTCACCTCGAAAATTTTCTGAAAGAAGGAGCACCCTGAGACTTTTGAAACGTGTAAATATCTTCATTGCCCCCGTGACATTGGTGAGTCTATTATGAGAAAGTGATAGGAAGGTCAAGTTTTTCAATTGAAGAATCTCAGGTTGGATTTGTCCCTCGAAATCATTTGAAGCCAGTCGAAGTGCTTTGAGGGACTTGCATGAGTAAAGGCTTATTGGCAAGATACCAGTGAGTGCATTATTTATAAAATCTAGCTTACTAAGTTGAGTAAGTTTAGAGAAATCGTGCGCAGAGATATTCCCACTAAAACGGTTGAATCCCAGATTTATTTCAACAAGGTTTGTGCAATTCATCAAAGATGGGGGCAGAGGACCTTCTAGATTGTTGTAATGAAGGTGCATGAGCTTTAATTTGGAGAGCTTCCCAACATTCTCACCAATGGGTCCGAAAAGGCTATTAATAGATAATGAAATTTCTTGAAGGGCCTGAGCATTGTAGATATCAGCAGGAAGGGACCCTGAGAGAGTGTTGTCACGAGCATGAAAGACCTCCAATTGGGAACAGTTTCCTAGTCCTAGAGGAATTGAGCCACTGAAATTATTGTGGGAGAAATCCAAGACTCTAAGCGAAGAGGAAAGAAGACAGATAGAGGATGGTATTTGGCCAGTAAAATGATTATTGCTGACATTCAAACTGCTCAAATTCCAGGCATGCTGGAGGAATGAAGATGGAATTGTTCCGTTAAACTGATTGCTGGATAAATCCACCATCTGGATATAACTTGATGATAGAGATGATGGTAGTGTTCCGGATAAATGGTTTTCGCTCAAATCAAGGATCTGAAGGTGAGTCAAAGACAAAAAAATTCGAGCCTCAAGAGGACCGGAAAGCATATTGTGGGAGAGGTTGAGATGTGAAAGATGTGTGAGGTTTCCAAGAGAGCGAGAAATGCAACCTTTGATACCTTTGGAGGGCAACAACAAATGAGTTACCCTACCAAACATATCACAAGTGATGCCCTCCCATCTGCAACAATCGTTGGAAGACCAGTTTAAACTAGAAGAATCATTATCAAATGAAGACCGAAGAGAGTGTTGATCAATGTTTCGGCATGCGGGCGTTGTAGCAATGAAACTTGAGATGAAAAATATGAAGAGGAGGCCATATGAAATTAGAAGTGCCATGTCTGTATATTTGATTGCTCACAAGTTTGTTATATATAACGCAATGATTTGTTTAGACTTAAAGGGCTAGAAACAACATCGAAACATGAATCACGCTTCTTGGCAGCAGGCCTGGCCCAGGTCCAGTGCGGTAGGGCAACCGTCCGGGACCCAAAAAAATTAGAGGCATCTAAATTATTAGGACGGTATATTTATATATGTTTTTATAAGAGTATAAATTTATAAAATTTGGTGTAATAACAAAGAAATTTAACTAGAACTGATGGGTTTGTTGTTTAAAATTAATAAGGAGGTCTTAGGTTCAAAGCATCATGTGTGCTTATTTACATTCCAATTTTTACAAATTTATAAATTTATAAAATTTGGCTAAATGATGAAGAAGTTTAATTAGAAGCAATGATTTTTGTTGTTTAAAATTAACAAGAAGTCTTAAGTTCGAAATGCTATGTGCCTGTTTATTTTTTTCAATTTTTACAAATTTTTGTTTGCTTGTTAATTTATTTACTAGCTAGTAGCTATGTGGATTGCTATTTTTAAATATCCGTTCCAATTCAAGTCTAATCTTCAATAAAGAGTAACGCGTAGACTAAATTTTTAGACCAAATTTGCAAATACTATTACATGTCATCAAAAGGTTTAATTTAGTGTTCATTCATTACTTATACATATTCTTAAAGACTCGAAAACATTATTATTTTTTTAGTATTATATCGATGAGGTTAGTAAATAAGAAAAAAATACCTCACGATTTATATAAAAGCATTTTAAAAGTTCAGATGGAAAACAAAACTCATAATTTATCTACTTGAAGGAAGGGTCTACCGTCGGAAAGAGACAGCGGTGGATGATCCATGTGGTGGTGGGCCGGTGAATGGTTGGCCAGAGTTGGATTTGAGTGAGACTGAGTCTGAGTGAGTGTGAACTGAGAAATGAAATGAAGGTTCGAAATTGGAGTGGAGTCCTCGACAGGGAGAAAGCTGAAAGCCTAACAAGGAATGGATGGACGACATAGATTAATTTGAAACAATCCAACTGTTCAAATTAACTCTAACTATAATTAAAAAAAATATATATTATTATCTGGGTAAATATATATATATATATATATAATAATTAAAAATATATATTTTTGGTTCGGTATGGGAATACCGAAATATCGGGAACACAATCCTGATTCCCATACCAAAATTTCGGTATTTTTCGGTATAGGAATACCGAAATTTTGGAAAAATCGGTTTGGGATCGGTATTTTTTTGGTTTGGTTCCGGATTTTTGAGAATTTTTTCCATCCCTAATTACAACACTAGAATATTGCTCTGAAATAAAAGAAGTGATCATTTGAATTAGACAAATGTCCTCTTCAATGGTTGTCTATATTGTTTTTAATTTTTAATGTTGTGAATATGGTGGATGGCCCAAATGCAGAATTTGAAAGCTGGTAATTGCAAATATTACTGTGCACATAAAGACTTTAAGCCTGATCATTGAAGTCTTTACTATTTACATGAAGATTTTGTAAATAAAGTTAGTTTGCTTTTTGTAATTGTCGGATGAAAAACCTTTATATAAAGATTGTAATATTACTGTACACATAAAGACTTTAATAAGCCAGATTTTTGAAGTCTTTACTGTTTACATGAAGACTTTCTTCCACATGGCTCCAGAAACATTTGTCCCCATTTCTCCTTTTTTATTTATTTATTACTATTATTTCTGTGGTGGTGCCCATGTACCATTCCATTAACTTTGTCTTTTTCCCTGCAAAACCCACAAACTGCAGAAATAATAGAGACAACACAAGTGAGCAAGAGGCAGGCCAGTGGAAGTCTCGTAAATAAAATGTTTGTGGCAAACGAATTTACCATTTTGATGTGATCCTTTGTATATATAAATTTATTAAATTACTTTGTGGCAAACGAATGTATTCCTGTAACCCACTTCAATCAACAACAAAAGAAGAAAAATAATTGATCCCTTCAAAGATGCTTTCATAAATTAAAAGATGTCCTACCCATCCAAACGAAAGTGGGATGTTATTTTCAGTCCCACGTGATATCGGGACAATGGAAAAATAATTGATCCCTTCAAAGATGCTTTCATAAACTAAAAGATGTCCTACCCATCCAAACGAAAGTGGGATGTTATTTTCAGTACCATGTGATATCGGCACAATGGAAAAATAATTGATCCCTTCAAAGATGCTTTCATAAACTAAGGGCTGGTTTGGTATTGATGTGCTTTGAAAAAAAACTGCTGTGAGAATAAGCGGCTGTGCGGTGAGAATAAACGGCTGTGAAATAAATCAGCACAGTGTTTGATAAACTTTTTTGTAAAAGTGCTTTTGAAAAAAAAAGCAGTCTAATAGTGGATCTTTTCATTAAAGAAGCACTGTAACTCCGTGTGCTTTGAACAAAAGCCAGTTTTCCAAAGCTGCAAATAGCAGCTTCAACTTTTTCCTTTAATTTCAGCTTATTCTCACAGCAGCTTCCAAAATAAGCCTTTTTTTTTCAGTTTACCAAACACCTAAAACCCTCGCATCTTTTTTTCATGGGTGTTTTTTTTTAAGCACCTCACTCCCAAACTATGTCTAAAAGATGTCCTACCCATCCAAACAAAAGTGGGATGTTACTTTCAGTCCCACGTGATATCGGCACAATGGAAAAATAATTGATCCCTTCAAACATGCTTTCATAAACTAAAAGATGTCCTACCCATCCAAACAAATGTGGAATGTTATTTTCAGTCCCATGTGATATCGACACAATGGAGGGCGACTCTGGTAATTTCAGATCACAAATAACTCCAAGAATCCAGTTAACCACATCATCCCCACCAACAATCTGAGAATAAATATATGTTAGAAAGACAGCTACAGCACAACCCAAAGATTAATTAAAGAAAAAAAAAATATCCAAAATGTATGTCAGAAATTGTTGAAATTATAAATACAAATCCAAAAACCAAAAAACAAAAAAAAAAGAAAAAGTGTTCGTACAGGTCACATTTCTTTATTAAAATAATCATTTCAATATGCCTTTCCTCAAGGAGAGACAATTACAAAGAGAGAATAATACCTGTTTTTTATTCAGACAGTAGCAAAATTCGTTGTAAAGTCGTCCTCCAAGCTTTTCATTTTTATATCAACAAACACTAAAACTAGGCACCTTGGTATATCAACACTAAAACTGGGCACCTTGGTATATCAACAGAAGGTTTTCCATCCAAATCATGTTTAAGCAATTCATCAGGTATATACATCTTCTTCAAGAGACGTTTGGACCTACAATTTGATCCGTAGTATTCTTATTGCATGTAAAACTAATTTTGGGGAACCAAATCTTAGCAAACCAAACAAAACAAAACCCAAAATCAATTAAAAAAAAAAATAGGCCTAAAGAACCTCACACCTAACAAAACCCCGGATTTGCTCGAAAAGAGATTCATCTTATTTTAGCAAAATGAATTCCAACTGGCCACAAACCAAAGCCTTGACCAAAATGAATTGCACTTAAGTGTCAACCAAATTCGCAAACATTTAAAAGTTCTTCGATTTTCACACACCAAAACAACATATCAAATTAAAAAAACCAATGCAATGTTAGTGAAATAAGCTCGCACGGTATTTTAAGCTGTAAAACAATCACCTTGCAAATGAATAGGCACATCTGATTCTTCCAAATCCTCTCACCTCCGTCCTAGAATTCGTCACCTGTGTCACCACAAAAACATGTAAAAAATCCGAGGAAATCAAATGCTATAAACACCAAATTCCAAATTTGCAGTCAAAACCAAATTCCAAACGATGATTGTATGCATATTCGAGCCATAAGGGAACCAAATTTAAAGAATTATTTGGAGATGAAAAGCCTAATGTAAACCCTAATAAAGTTTATAAATTTTATAATAATCCTCCGATGTGGGACAACATGAAGACCCTATTGTCGAGTTGTGTTTGTATTCCGTTCCAAGGACTGCGTAACTAACAAATCAGGGCTCAAAAATTCAGATTTATCTTTCAGAGGAAGAGAGAGAGTGTTACAGTGACAATGGCAGTGAGAGCTAAGAAATAGGAATCCATGACTCTTCCCATGGAAATTGTTCTGGATTGTTGCTCTTGAATAAAAAACTCTTTGCTTTGCTTGCAGCTACTGAGTTATCAAAAGTGGAAGGGAAGCCCTTCGAAAATTCAATACAACAGGAAAAATTTATTTGCTGCAGTTTAACACCGTCAGATTCCAAGTAAATCATACTATTTTAACAATTCTCAATTTTAACACCGTCATGTGGATTTGGCAAACTAATTATGTGCAAATATAATATTTCGAGGATTCATAAGAATGCGGGATTGAAAGAAGAGTGCAGTGTCTTGAAATAAAAGTAACTGCAAAGGAAATTAACAGTTTGCATCATTGAATCGAACGAAAAACATAGTAAAGCCATTAAATCTCTCCTCTTAGAATTACATATCATTGATTATACGGTTTGCTGTAAATAGTAGAATTCAACTAAATACTTTCAATAAGAACAACTGAAGGCATCTAAATGGTAATATTGTTATTACCAGTCAATTTCTATTAACTAAAAACACTACGCGGATCAACATTAAATAAAAAGCAATTTTTTTGGAAGCTAAATTTTCCACTTACAACTGATGTCAGTGGCCAGTTTGCCATTGCAAAACCTTCCAGTAGGCTGATGGTTCACAAAGTCCCTTCCATAAGGAGGGTAATCAACCTTTTGGTGTCTGCCAACCACCGCCTTACATCCAAAGCCCCCATTTGCAGCAACCTAAACCAACCAAAATCCAAAATCCTGAAATTCCCAAACACAATAAATCCATTAGCAATTCTGAGACTTTCAAATATAATGAGATGGACCAACACAGATAGAAAAGACTTTAAATTTACAGCAAGATGAAAGCTTTTTCAAATTGAGGGCCAAATCTAATGAAATTTAGCAAAATGACCAAACAGATGTGGAATCTTTTGCATCCCTGGGAATTCTGGATTAGGGCCTTACAGAGATGAAGATATAAGCAATGTCTATAGGGATTTTAATTTGGTAATTGTTCTTTTATTCTTGAAGAGATGCTAGAGTAAAAATTTCAAAGACAATCTAAAGTTTTCTCAAATAAATAAATGTAGGCTGAATGGTTCATTGCTATTGAGAAAAGAAAACACCTTAACAACGTGGAAGCAATCTTATCGTGTGTGTTAAGCTTTTTTTATTATTGGAAACCCATGATATACAATCATGAGCTCTACGTAAAGAAACATTGGAATTGTCATGAGAAAAAAATCAATAACCAACCACATGACCACAATTTAAGCCTCGCCTTGCTTGCTAATTGTGGGGTTTTAAAGCTAGAAGCCCATTAAACATTGACAGACACCAGACTCCCCAATGATGCAAATTTCGATTACATATCTGATTGAAACAACCTTCACACATAATGTCCACTTAGAAGCCTACTTCCTACAACCAATTTTAAAACATGCATAGAAATTTTGCATGTTAGATTTCTGAAAAACAATCAGTATCTAAGCTAGTGAAACTTTGGAAATGCTTGACAAAAGAATATGTATAGGGTGGACTAATATATATATATATATGTGTGTGTGTGTGTGTGTGTTTGTTTGTCCAACTGTCCATAAATTCCTTACCACATCAACCTTGACCCATTCAAATCTATAAATTTGAATTTGTTTAAATTCCCATGGCTACACTTCTTTACAAACACTTATCAGCTGCTAATAATTAAACTGACCAACTATGATTACTGTGATGAGCTATAGGATACCAAATGTGTGATATAATTCTGTTTGTTTAGTAAAACTATTACACAGCTAATGTTTCTCTTGCCTCTCTTTTCCTTCCAATAATGATTGATACAAAACAGCCATTCTTCATTGGGAATCAAGGATTGCAACATTAATATTATCAATGATCGACAATGTAAATTGACCCAAATAAAAGGATAGTCCACATTAAAATATGTTAAGACTTAAAACATTCTTCTACATCCACCAAAAATTTTCACTTTTTAAATCCTCTAAAATTATATCGTGGTCAAATACATTTGAATTTTCATAAGCTTTATGCTGTTAAAAGTTTAGAATCAGATAATAAAAAATAAGTAAGCACAGGATAGGAAGTCAATGAAACCTGCAATGTTAAATCCCGAGTCGGCAGCACGTTTCCTGCAATGGTTCACGTGGCTACCTCAAAACAGGTTGACAATTAAGCTTCATTATGAATGGAAAGATTAATAGATGATAATTAAGATGGATCAAGAGAAACAAAAAAGCCAATGAACTGATGGAGCGAAAAAGAGAAACAAAAAACCTCAATTAAGCAATTAAATGGAGTATTACTTGATAGAGCTGGAAAAGTACCTAGTTTCTCAGAGAGAGGATAAAGAGTGACTGATGAGAGTGCAGAGAAACGAATGATTGAGAAATTCAAGCTCTGAGCTCAAAGTTGGGGCTTCCACTTTCCAACTGGGAAAGAAATAATAGACAAAACACAGAGAGCCAATCCACCTAAAATATTAATCAAATGGGTTTTCTCTAATTCAAAATTTGGACCACCCAAATTCCGATGAAGCAATAACCATTCAAAATTCCAACAGACTGAACCCTCACAGACCACAAATAATCAATACCCAGCAGTAAAAATTTTGAAAACAGTAATAATGAAGGAAAAGGAAATTAAAGATGCGAGCCATTCTCTAAATCTCAGACACCAATCCAAATTACCAGTAATTTGCACGCCAATCTCAGACACCGGAATGTTGGCTGCAGCTAAATAAACAACACATTAGGACCAAGTAACTTTCTGTTTCGAGCCATATATGTATACACACACACACACACACAATATGATACAAAACAATAAAAAAGCAGCAAAAGGCATTCTCAAAATACACAAAAATATAAGATCAGATGAATCCGTACGTATTCGAGTTTCAGAGCACAAAAAAATTTACATTCTTCAATAAAAAAAAACCCAAAGAAAAAAGCTGAAATTATATGCCTCAAGCACAAACAGCTTGGAAGCCTGCACACAATACAAACAACAACAACAAAGCCTTTTTCCACCAAATGGGGTCGGCTATATGAATCCTAGAACGCTATTGCGCTCCCCAAAAAATGAAAACCACCGTTTCTTGAAAATAGAAAGAGAACCAAATCATACACCCACACTCAGAATTCCAACATAAAAACAAAACCCCAATTTTTTACGCAACGACTCATTTATATATAAATTCAAGAAGCAGCAAAATCCAAACAACTCTTTCGTTTATGAACAACCCAACTTCTGTAGAACAGATGTGAGTACCTGCATAAACATTCGACGCGTAACCCATTGCTCAATCCTTCAAGTAAAAGTTAAACAAATGCCACTATAGCAGTTTGAGGGAGGCGCATTGCTACCGACGAAGTTGTTAAGGGAAAATAGAAGCTCTGCAGATAGCAGGCTGGGATCCACAACTATTCAAAAATTGAAGATCCCAGTAGCAGGGCAGTGAAGAAATCCCCGGGAGAGTGCAGAAACACAAAATTGAAGCTCTAGCCGGCTGGGACCGACAACCATTCAAAATTGAAGATCCCGGAGCAGGGCAGTAGTGAAGCACAAAAATCCCAGGGGCCAAGGGAGTGCAGAAGAACAAAACCAATGAAGCAGAAGAAGCAGACGACACCTCAACACAAAAAGCAAAGAAAAAAGTAGAGAGTTTTAGTGGCAAGGGTAGAAATTTCATTTAATATTGGCACGAACATGATAATCCAAGCAAAACAACCGAGGAAGTCTTTTTACCTAGCAGCAGCATGAGCAATGCCAAATCCACCCATATGTCAAACCTATACTTAATTTTCATATAAAAAAATCCAAATAGAAAATCAAGACAAATAATTGGATTAATTGAAACTAATTCAAGTCAATTAAATAGCCAAGGTCAAAAATCCATACCCAAATATATTTGTTAAAACTAATATGAATTAGACATTAATCATGCAAAGAGCTGATAACAATAATAATAAGAATGTGGTTTTGGTGGTGCCGTTGGTAGATGGTACTCCATACTTGAGCCTCAAAAGGTGTTTATTCTTATCAAATAAGTATACATAAGAAGATTTATGAGATAGATCGATGCACGGCAACGGCATAAATACAGATTTCGGGAAACAAAACATGGAGAAACAAATACAGAAGCAACAAAACATGGAGAAACAACCTTTCACCTTTTTCTTCTAACACTCTTATCACACAAATACAGAAGCAACAAAACATGGAGAAACAACCCAACAACAGAGGGATACTCAAAGGATGTAAAGCAGAAAAGGAAACTCAATTCGATTTGTTGACAAGGAAACAGCACCAAAGCATGAAGAAACACAGAAATGACGAAACAGTGCACTAAACAGACCTATCTTCCTAACACCCAACTAAACAGGCTATAAACTTCCATTACAATTTTATTGACACAAAAAAATGTCAATCACGGTTTTAACATAGCAAATGGAAAACCAAACAATAAACAATGATTTCTGAACAGTGTTTTACCTGTTGAATCAGAGTTGGTTCTCTCTCCCATACCTCCCTCAGACATCCTCTGCTCACCAACCCCGTGGGGTAACCCGTTAACCCCAAAAAACGCAGGGCATGCTCTCTGCCCTCTCTATCTCACACTCTCCATCATTGTCTAAAAAATTCAACAAAATCCCTAAATCTCTCTCCCGCCCAGTCGAAACCCCTAACTCCCATCTCTCTCCAACCTGTCAGTCCCTCTGTCCCCCTCCTCTCCTCCCTCAACGACCCTCTGATGGATGCACCACCTACCGGCACACCCAACAGCCCCCGAGCCAAAATTCCCGGCGATCCTCGCCCTCCAACACGTCAACCCTCCCGTTCCCCTTTCCGTCTCTCTCCCCGAGTGAAAGGCCACATCCAGCCCAAAGACCCAAAAGCTTTTCTGAAGCCCAGCGCCAAAAAGACCTAAAACCCTTTCTGAAGCCCAGTGGCAATTTTGCAAATAACGTTCAATTAGGGGACAGATAGACTCAGTGGCACTTTCGTAAATAAAATGAAATTGAGGCAAAATTGCACATTGCCGTTCTTCCCCCCTACTTTTAGACTAAAGTAAAGTAATGTTCCATTAATCTATAACTTCACCACAACATGGACACGCTGATAGAAATTTTTGTGTGTGACCGTAGCTAAGTCTATGTCCTGCCAATTACATTACATACTTGGTTAGTATGTGGGCACAATCCCATTACATACTCGACACACATGAACAAACTGTTTAAGCTGAAATTGAGATGCCAATTGATTATAATATCTCTCCCCACCACCAACTCCTGTAAGCCAAGGACTGCAGCAAACCGAAGACCTTCACGTACAACCAACATCTCAGAACGTGTAGCCGACGGAATTCCGAACTTGCTCCATGCCCCAGCAGCCACGAACTTCCCCTCCAATCTCTAACCATCACACGTGAACCATCAACAATAATTTTCAACCAACATTCAATTGAATATCAGAGTGCGCAACAGATAAAACTAACAAAATAATAAGAATATTATTAAATAAAAGAAAATGCCGCACGGCTACAAAACTCCAAGAGACTACATTGTGAATGACTTATTTTAAACTGAATAACAAGCATGCTATTTATAATAAAATAACTATAATCCTAAAAGGTAAGAAACTAAAACCCTAATGCTAATGGGTTAAGCCAAAAAAACCAAACATTTAAATAAACCAAAATAGGTATACGACATGAGTTTGCATGCGGACTGATTCTGTTAGGCTGGCAGGCATACAAACTTGAATTGACTTGACTAGCAAACTAGCATACTGGCAAACTGACAAACTGGCAAACTGATTCCTGCTAGTGTTGAGAGTATATAAAGAACCCATCACTAAATGGACGAGATTTTCATATCTCAATTTTACCAACAAACAAACAACTTGTGTGGACCATCAAACCAAAAAATGGGTGGCAAACAGCCAACAACCCATTTTTCCTCTCTGCCCGTGTGGGCCAAAACAAACAGCCAAAAATATATATTTTTTCTTTTCTTTGTTTTTTTTTTCTTTTTCTTCTCTGTGTTTTTACTTTTCTCCTTTCTAGAACCACTCTTTTTGGGCAGTGGTTTTCTAACAAACAAAACAACTGCGAGTGTAGTGATTAGATGGAGGTGCGCATACAGTGGGTACGAGGATGGCGTTGGACAGAACGGCAGCAGAATGGTGGCTGGTGCTCTGGTGCGAGATGGTGTTGGTGCATAACAAGTGTGGTGTGGGGGTGACAATGACTGGGTGCAAGTAGGGTGCTGGTTCTGGGCTTCCGATTGACAACGAACGGCGAATGGTCTCTGCAGTGCGGGTGCTGAGTAAACAAACTCCAAACTTTTTTTTAAAATTTTTTTTTAACAAAATCCTAACTAGCTACTGAACAAACAGACAAACCGATTTCAACCCCAAAACAGATTAATTCTCGAAAGATTTAATCTGCTCTGATACCAAGTTGAATATCGTAACGGACAAGACTAACAAAATAATAAAAATATTATTAAACAAACAAAAATGCCGAAACGGCTACAAAACTTTAAGAGACTACAATGTAAATGACTTATTCTAAACTGAATAACAAGCATACTATTTATAATAAATTAACCATAACTCTAAAAGATAAGAAACTGAAACCCTAATGCTAATGGGCTAAGCCTAAAAAACCAAACAAATAAAGTAAAATACTAATATTTTCCAAGCCGTCCACATCGGAATTGACTCAGCAAAATCTGGCATGCGCATTTACTTCAAGAAACGCTTTAGACAAAGGCAGGCATTGAGATAAGTCAAGCCGAAAATTTGGAACACAAACTTGGAGAATTCCAAGGAAGCAATGCTTCGTTAAGAAATATATAGCTAATCAATTAAGCTAGGCTGAAAAATTGGTGCTTTTGCAATGGCAATGGCTTTTTCTGTGCGGATGCTGTTGTTCGCCTCATTGTTTTTGCTACCAATTTCTGTGTTTTCCCAAAATAATGGAAGAGTAGCAGTTGGAAGTTCTCTAACTGCAACTACAAGTAACTCCACATCATGGCTTTCTCCATCCGGTGATTTCGCGTTTGGATTTTTGCCCCTTGGAGGCAATGATCTTTTCTTGCTTTCAATATGGTACGCCAAAATCCCAGACAAAACCGTTGTTTGGCATGCATATGAGGATAACAACCCCATAGTTGCACCTGAGGGATCAACTTTGAACTTGGATGCCAGCAGTGGGCTAGTTCTTAACAATCCTCAAGGTGGGGAGATATGGAAATCCGCAACTTTCGGGGTTGTTGCAAACGGGGTCATGAATGACACCGGAAACTTTGTTCTTCAAGACAAAAACTCGGGGAGCTTATGGGAGACGTTCAACAATCCTACAGACACCATTTTGCCGGGGCAGACAATTGAGAGAAATGGGAAGCTTTCGTCTAAACAATCGGAGAGTAACTACGCGAAGGGGCGGTTCCAGCTGCGCTTGCAAGATGATGGAAACCTCGTGCTCAACACCATAAACTTGCCAACAGATTTTGCCAACGAGCCTTACTTTGCCACGGACACAACAGCGGGGACTGTGGAAGGTAGTGAAGGTAAACAATTGGTGTTCAACAACTCAGGGGACTTGTTTGTTCTGAGAGAAAATGGTGGAAGATTCATTCTCACAACGGCAAAGGGAGTCTCAGCGAGGGAGAACTACCTAAGGGCAACTCTTGATTTTGATGGGATTTTCGCGCTATATGCTCACCCAAAAACTTTCACCGGAAATGCAAGCTGGAGTAGTCCTCTGTGGTATCAGCCGGTTGATATTTGCCAAACACTTTTGGAAGGCGCGGGCGTTGGTGTTTGCGGATACAACAGTATCTGCAAGCTCAAACCAGATAATAGGCCGACCTGCGAATGCCCGAAAGGGTTTACTTTTCTTGATCCCAAGGACTTATACCGAGGCTGCAAACCCGATTTTATACAAGGCTGTAAAGAAGATGAGCTAGCAAGTCCCAGGCAAGATTTGTATGATGTCGAGGTGCTGATAAATACTGATTGGCCAACCTCAGATTATGTGCAGCTAAAGCCTTTTACCGCGGACAAGTGCAACGAGTCTTGCTTTCATGATTGTTTGTGCGCTGTTGCTGTTTTCCGGTCTGAAACCTGCTGGAAAAAGAAGTTACCTCTTTCGAACGGGAGAGTGGATGTCAGTCTTAATTCGCAGACCTTCATCAAAGTCCGAAAGGATAATATGTTGGAAAATCAATTTTAGTATTATTGTTATTTCTATTGGGTTTTCTAGTGGGCCAAGAATTAGGATTCTTTGCTCATTAAGTTTATAACTTCTTGCCCGTTAGGCCTTCAAAGTAGGATAAAAAAATGAGTGCGATACAAATATATCGAACTCATAGTGAAATCACACTTCCATGGTGGGACGGAAAATTTGAGTGTGATACCAATATATTACACTCATGAGTTTAATATATTAAACTCTTATGGAAGGTCTTAGGGATTATGGTTTGCTTTAATTTTCTCTATAAATAAGGGGATTTGTAACTCATGGAATAACAAGTCACTCGAAATGTAGTCTTGTAGCCGTGCAATCTCTTTCCAGTTAATAAAATTATATTTATAATTGGTTGTTCTTTCGGTTAGTTAGCCTGTTCATTTATGCGTACTCTGATTTTCAACCTAATATAACTCTGCAATTTCCTCCAATGCCAATATCAGATGATAAAGAGAAGAGCCAGACATCTGTCATACGCGTGGAATCGTTACTATTAGGTACCTCTACCTTTGTTAATGTTGTCTTAAGTGCTGCTCTCTGTCTCGGTTTTGGACTCGCATTTAGCTATGAAGAACTACAAGAAGCTACAAATGGATTTACGGAAGAATTAGGAAAGGGTGTATTTGGAGTGGTTTCAAAGGGGGATGCAAATTGGTTCTGGTGTCGAAGTGGCGGTGAAGAGGCTAAACTATGTTATGCAAGATGTCGAGGAGTTCAAAACAGAACTGAATGTAATTAGTCAGACGCATCACAAGAATCTGGTTCGTCTTTTCGGATATTGTGACAAGGGGCAACAAAGATCACTAGTTTTTGAGTTCATGAGCAATGGAACATTGGCAAGCTTTATTTTTGCTGATATCAAACCAAGTTGGAGACAGCGAATTGAAATCACTTATGGCGTTGCTAAGGGGCTTTTGTACTTGTCAATAGAACACGAGGGAGTAGAGAGGGCAGCAATAATTCCAATTCATACATGGTAGGCCCTAAACTTCATCAGCACCAATAGCTTAAGCAAACGCAAAGTCGCCGGGCTATGTTTTCGTAACGAACTTTATTATTCATAACAAGAGTAGGGATGGGCAAAATATCTATGGATTTGGGTAACCGCGGTTACCCGTCCGTATAAAATTCATGGTTACGGTTATGGGTAAACGTTTAGATGAATAAACGGTTACGGGTATAACCGTTTACCCGTGAAATTTAAATGGATGGTTATGAGTATTACCCGCGGTTATAAATGGATACTCATTTAACCGTTTATGTTAATATATGTAAAATTAGAAAGAAAGAAAAAAAACTAAAACCCGAAATTAATAAATATTTAGGTCGGAAAGATTTTACTAATTTTGAGTTCAAGTTTATTTATCATGCATTGCATGCTGAACATATGTTGGTTGGAACTTGGAAGGGATGCAGGGCCTCTTGGTCTATTAATTTCAGAGTGACGATCTCAAGTTTAGTGGTGTCTGTCTGATTAGTGTTTTCTTCGTCTTGCTAATTGCGGTTATAAATCAATGTTCCATGTCACGTGTATGGATGGTGCTGTTAATTAATTTTTAAATTTTAATTGCGATTATAAATTAATGTTTGATGTTCAGGCGCATGGTTACTAAGAAAAATCTCATCAATTCGTTGTCAAATATGACAGTGTTTAATGGTCAGAAAAAAAAAAATATGACAAATTTCATTTTTCTCAACTACCCAAGAGCCAAATATTTGATTTTTCTCTGTGGTTTGTTATTTTACCGAATTTGGTTGTTGATATTTCGTTTTTTTTATAGTTCATTTGTGTTCTGTTGGGCTTGTATTTTACTAGAATTTCATAGAATTTGATTGGGCTGCGTAACTGATTGGCTTAAAATTTTGTGATATTAAATATTTCTTGAATTTGATCATTAGATTTCCCCTTTTTTTTTGGAAGTTGACGTGCTTTCCCATTCATCGCCAAAACAAACCCGTGCTGCCTCCCCCTTCGTCTTCTCCTCCAGCAATTTGCGCCTTTAGTTCTCAATTGGATTCACGGTAAAAACCCAGAAACATAAGAGGTACGAAAATTTCAATTTTTTGTGTGTTTTGATTTACTTTCAGTGTTAATTTCTGATTAAATTATTATTTGTGATAAACCCACTTAGAATCTGATCTGGCTTTTGCTGGGATTTCAGAGTAAAAACGTTGAAACTTAAAGGTATGAAAATTTCAAAATTTTTTATTTTTATTTATTTTCAGTGTTAATTTCTGATTAATATTATTCTTGATAAACCCACTTAGAATCTTGATCTGAGTTTTGCTTAAATTCATCTTGGGGTTTTATACTTTTTAGTTTTATAATTTTCTGGTGCACCTGTGATTAAATACAACCTAATTTGATTTTACCCACAAGTGCAGATCTTACCCCGCAGTGCTCAATCCAGAGAATTGGTACTCATAATCAATAAGATTTATACGGCTTATTGGTATCAATTTTGGTTGCAGCAATGCTATTCTTGCTGAAGACCTGCCATGTAAGTGATTTAGTTTTTGCTTTTCGAATTTCTACTTTTCATGCACAATTATGAATACGTGGGTAATATTTTCTACTTAATCTCCAATTCAAAGAGAAGGATATTGAATTCTATTATCATTTTGGTTAAAAATGCGTTAACATTTTAGTTAAATTTAATCCCTAATTGATCTGACTAACCACTCAAAAAGGATTATCATACAAAATGTCTGCAAATAGATCGAATACTATTAATGAAAATTAATCCTTAATGTTTCCATCTGACCACATGATAGTATTTTGTGGCTAAACATAGTTTTTACTCGAACAAATATTTACCAACTTACATTGACAAATTCATTCTCCTTTCATTTGAACAGTAAAAGCCAAATCACACATGGATCCCCAAACTTCAGCTTTACCATTACTAATCCTCTTGCTTGGGAATTTAAAAAAAAAAAATCATAAGCAAACATGAATCTGATTATATACCAACTCAGGATGTGATCATAAAAATCAATTGATATGAAGAGTAGAGCTATTAAAGACCTTCCAAATTTTATCAAGTGTTACAGAAGTAATATATTTTGTATGCAGAAATTCAAAGCACGCAGAGATCTCGAGTAAAAAACAGAGGTACCCATCCCCTTTTGTTCGATTTTTGCTTTTTTTTTATCTCTGTTTTCATTTTTGGGTAGGATATTGTGCTTATAATTGGGTTTAATGTGAAATTTTTGAAGCAGCTAAATCTCATTCAGTTCTGTTTGATTGATTGTTCATGTATGATTTGTTCTGTTATGCTTGGTAGGTTTAAATTGAATTGGATTTATATTTGATTTCGAGTTGATTAATTTTATTTATTTTTTAGTTGTAAATCATATTAGTTGCAGATCATGAAACAATTTCATGTTTGGTTTAAGAGAATAGGCTTGATTCAATGAGATTTGGATTCATGAGTTATAGCCATCTGAGATAGGCAAGAGTGTTTTTATTCTTTAGAAGAAAATTTAGGAGCTACAAAACTATGCTTTAAATTTGAGTTTTGTGATTACTATTTTTGTTCTTTATCTTACTAAGATTTTGGTAAATCAGCAACTCTTGCACAGCGAAATGACTCCCACCACCCAACAAACGCAACTGCTACAATTTCAATTGCAGTTCTTGAAGAAAGGTGAAGCCTGTGTTCTATACAAAGTCTTGGATTTTTTTATATGGGGTTTCATTTTTTTGTGCTTTTTTTCTCTCTTGAGAATATTAATATTGTTGAGTTACTAAATTCGACTATTGCATAGGTTAAATTTTACTTCGAATTGTAGTAATTGTCATACAAGTTTATATTTTTGTATAGAATTGCAGACAGTTTGAATTTTGGATGAGAGTTTAGAATATTTATAAGTTGGTTCTGTTGTGGGATCTCCATATAGCAAATTTATCCTACTTTGTATTTCAAAAATCATAGGTTAGATTGTCTACTCTAGCTATATAATTCTTCCATGTTTTTCAGATCATGGAATGAGTTTCTAATGCTGAGATTGTAACCCAATCAATAAGTAAGTGAAACACAGAAGTTCTATATCGCATGTTAGTTTTGATCCATTTCAAAAAATCCTATGCATGGTACAGGAAAAACATTTCTTTGCTGCAAAGAAAAGTGAAGTACTGAACAACAATGTGAAAAGTTGGGACCTAGAAAACAAGATATTTTAATGTGTATTATAACTACATAGATGTAAATAAGATAATTTTTACATATCAATTGTTCTTTATAGAACAAGGGGATGTAAATAGATTTTGAGATATTTATAGAACGTATGGAACTGGAAAGAAGAATACCAAATGAAGCACTGATTTGTTCAGATATTTATTTTTGCATGGAAAAAAATTGAGATATTGTGGATTATTACTGACATATATAAAACTATAAGCTTTTGAGATTGGGAGACAAAACCCACAAATTCAAATCAGACAAAAAATAAATTAATTAATTAACAGACTTAAAGATCAAACTCCAAAAGGGTATTAAAAACAAGGCTTATTTGATCCATTTAGTGTGAAAGTTTTGAGCTTTGAAGAAGCAGAGGAGGAGAGTTTCCAGTCCATCTTCAGGTAAGCTTGACAGCCACAGATCAGGGTGTGGAGAGGATGGAGAAAGTTATCCTGCTGATTAACAAGAGTCACAACAGTAGCAGAATCCACCTCCACCTCAACAGATCTAAAACCTCTCATCCAAGCCAAGCGTAAACCAAAAAAAAAGGCATATGGATTCGCATGGATTTCGCGGAGCTGGAGAAAGATACTGCCTCTAGAGATGAGTGGTTACTGATGTGTAGAAAGCAAATTGTTTTCTTGCAGATGATATAAATCAAAGATGACATTCATTATGGTCAAATAAACTCAGGTTGAATAAATCACTCATGGAATTTGTTTTGCAAAAACTATTAATTTTGTTTTGATTGCAAATTTAATTGTTTTCTTAACATACAGTTTTATCAAATTCAATTTTTCTCATTTTCAAATTTTCCGCGGACCACATTTTTTCCCTTTGCAGCTTTTTATGTCTTTGAAAAAGGTATGTCATGTTTTTAACGTTTTGGGTTTTACATGTTACTTCGACTTTTATTGTCTGCCTCCTTCAGCATTACTTACATTCATTTTCCAGTATTGGCTGATAAAAATTTATAAAATACTTAAGATTTTAATTAGAAAGTTAAAAATTTTAGCCATATTTTTAGTCGTATGTTCTGTGTCATTCTAATTCAAAGATTGGAAAATGACTGAAATAATATTTTCTTCCTTCTGTCTTTCAAATTTCCATTTGGTCCAATTTTATATTTCATTTCTTTGTGACTTTTTGCAAAACTTGGAATCAGGTTTTCAGGTAACATGGACGATGAATGTAAGAAACTCATACATAGAATAACTCCACCAAGGTATATGCGAATTAAAATCATAACTTGCGTTAATATAGAAGTATAAATTATTTTTTATCACACAACTTTGACAGAATAATTTGTCTCATAATTTAAAATATTGTACAAATTTTAGCTACCTAGCAATCAACGACTAATATCACTTCCAAGAAGGCAAGATCAATAAATGGCATGTCATAACAGTATATTTTCCACAAATAGATGGTAAAATTGTACACATCACATTAGGCAAGTTTCAATATTTTTTACTTCCATTTTAACACATTTCTAATTAACATTTTGTTCTAAATTTTGATTAAACTTTATTTAAATGTTTGATTTGAGAATTCACAAGTCGAATTACCACCTCTCTCTCCACTCTCCCAAAACTCTCAATTTTGAACTTTTTATGCATCTTTCTTCTTTCTTTCTTTTTTTTCTTCTTCCGAATCATTGCCTAACTGTCTTTATTACCTTTTGCAGTTGTATTCACAACTGTCCAAGACACTCTTTGGAATTTATTACAACAAAATGTCAATTTTTCCTTCTTTGGAAACACCTCAAGCTAAGAACAAGTCTGGTATCCAAGCTTTACATTCAACATTGTTTAGCATGTAGCAAGCTTTGTTTGACTGGTATACTCTCAATACTGGATTTGTAAGTTATGCAGTTATCGTTAGTTCAACTTTTTGAATGAACAATTATCTTCTTCTTTGCACTTTGTAAGAATATATTTTTCTCTTGGTATCCAAATTTGTTCCGTTCATGATAAGACATATAAATTGCATTGCCATTGTAATTCTCTATTTTCACTCAAACATTATTTAAGAAAATTGAAGCTATAAAATATCTCATAATTTTTAATCCGGCAGCACCACGCGAGTACAAATTTCTAGTTAATAACTAAAAATAGATTGATTATAAACAGAAAACTGTTGAAAATGAGGGACCTTGCATGATTTTATAAGAGGTTGGGCTACTACCCATATTGCCAATTGGTTTTATAGTGGAACTTTAACTTTCTTTATGGTATCCGAGGAAATTGTCCAACGTGTGAAGTCAAACGGCCACATGCGCTCTACGTCATCCTATTGTGCTATTCACGTGTTAGGTTTTAAAATACAAAAATACCCTACACGTGAGGGAACGTGTTAAAAATGAAGAGGTTAGAATACTCCACATATTATTTTACGGGAAAACCTCAACTTCTTTACGTTCAACATCTCCATGAGACAATTTTTCTTATATCTTCACTCTGATTTTCTTATATCTTACTATTATTTCTGTGGTGGTGCCGATGCACCTCTGCCCTTTTATTATTTTTTCTTTCACCTTTTCAAATGCACCATCCTTTTTTTTATGGGGTTTTTGATCTTTAATCCTTCAAGAAGATTAAAATTTGATAAAAACTTGATGTTAAATTGCATATTGATTTTAGTCCCTTAATGTGTACTTAATTCAAATTCATATTATATTTTTGTTTTTATATTTAATAGATAACTTATTTAATGTTATTACATTAAATTTTAAATTTATTATTATACACATTTTAATTCATTAATTTTATTTAACTTTCTCTAATTAGTGTACCTAAACGTCTGTATCATAATATATTTTACTAAAGGAGTAATTAGGTTTTCATCCCTATTTTTACTACTCTATTGATTAAAACCTTATTACTTTTCAATTTTTGATCAAGGTCCTTTGTATTAATAATATCATTAATTATTTCAATAATAAATATTTTTATTTCTAAATATATCATTTAATATTAAAAATGTTACAATTAGTATATTTATATTTATGGCTAAATTTTTTATCATATATTTTTAATTTTAGTTTGTACCCATTTTAATTTGCAACCCTTTTTGACACGCCCCGATCCCGATATCCTCGAGATATCAGGATGGTCACGTGCTGGCCGACACCCGAGGGTGACGAAAGCCATTTATTGAGTGCAATTGCTGAAAATAAAGGATAGATAAAACTTATAAATGTAAAAGAATAAGGAATATGCATTTAAGGAACGTGTTCAGAGCACACATCTAATCTAGAACATTAAAAGAATTAATATAAAAATTGAAATGAACACAGAATGGGTCCTACACCGAGAGGACTCGAAGATACCGATGCGGAAATGCCTGGATTGTCGGGATTGTACGCCTCGATCCTAAATCCTGAAGGGGCGCAAAACAAACATGAGTGGACAATGATATAAATAATAAACAGTTATCAACATACTTAACCCCCAGGTTATGAAAAACAAATAATAATGATGAACATAGGTTTCGAACCAGCATAATGTCAGTATCTCAAATCATAACTCATATATAAAATCACTATGAATTGTTCGATAACCCCCAGGCCATGCCGGCTCCCCGTCTCTGAGCAGAAGTCAGAGGAAAATACACTTCAGGCCCCATGCCGGCTCCCGTCCTGTGCTAAATAGCCAGAGGAAACACACCCAGGCCTATGCCAACACCAAACCGTCGCCCGGGACGGACCGGAATCCCCGTCCGTAGCAAAAGGACCACTAGGTAATACAAAACATTGAACATAATATATTGAAAAACAACTTCATAATATAAATCATCCATCACTATACTATAAAGACGGTTTTGAACATGTTCTAAAATATCATAGTCGTCATCCATCAGATATTCTATAAGAACACGGGTTATAGGAAAAATAGTAATATTCAAAGTAGCCTTAGTAAAGCATGTTATCTCACAAAACGTTTCATAAAACGAATCATCAAATCATGCTTTTCATGTATGCATTTCTACTATAAAAATGCATTTTAGAAGGGGCCACTCACAGTACTTAGCCGCCGAAGAGCCACGCAAACTAAAAACAAGAAAACGTCAACCAATATTGCCCTAAGCACATAAAGGGTCCAATTAATAAAACTATATAATAGCAATGAATTTGGGAAAACGGACGTTGGAAACGGATCCAGAATGTCGAATTACCCTAGAAAGGGTCCCGACGAAAACCCGAAAAGTCAACCTAATCAACGTGACGGAGGTCAACGGCAAATTAAGTCTAACGGTTTTAGCTTGAAAATCGGATAGGGTTTAGGTTAAATAGGATTAGGATATATTGGGTTTTGGGTTTTCTAAGGTTTTGGGTTAAAAGGGTTTAGGGTAAAGAAATAGAGTTTGCGCCTAAGCCCAAACATATACACACCACAAACTCACACACACATGCACGGCATGCACATGCATGCAAGGCATGCATATACACACACGCACACACTTAAACACACACACACACACACCTAATACACACACACACACAAACCACAAAGGCCTTAAGGCCTCCAAGGGCAGGGCTTTAAGCAACCAAAAACCGGCCAAATTTTAAGGCCGAGCCCTTTTGGGTTTTAAAAGAACAAGAACAAAATTAAAAGAAAAGGGGCTGGGGTCTAATGGGCTTAAGGCCCGAGGGAAGGGAAAGGGAAAGGCCGGATGGGCCTGGTTTTGCCGAGAAGGAGAAGGCCGGAGATTCGGCCGGAAAACCACCCAACTTTAAACGGCTATAACTTTGTCACTACTCGACGAAATTAAGCGAGACAAAAACGAAAGTTGTAGCCCTTGAAGAGACGAAGAGAATGATACCTCACACGACATCTAACTCGCCGTGGTTTGGCCGGAAAACGCCTCGAAAGCCGTCGGACTCGCCGGAAACTGGGTAAGATTCAAATGAGTATAACTTTTCCAATACTCAACGAAATTGAGTGAAACAAAAAGGAAAGTTGTACTACTCGACGAGACGAAGAGATTGATACCTTGCACGCCGGCCAAATCGCTGTGGTTTGGCCGGAAATGGCCTCGAAAGGGGCGGTGCTCGCCGGAGCTTACTCCGTGTCGTCGAACTCGCAGGGCAGGGTCTGGGGTTCGTTGCGAGCCTCTCTTCGATGGTGACTCGGTCCTAGTGAGTCCAGGGGAAGAGAGAGATGCGAGAGGTTGAGGGAGAGAGGTACGGGATAGCTGAGAGGGAGAGAGTTAAGGGAGAGTTACGGGGGAGAGAGACGAAGAAAAAGGAAGAGAGAGATGGGAGGCTGGGGACAGAAATCAGGGGTGGGTCCCCCTTGGCTCACCAATTAAGACTAACAATATTTTAAAAAAGAATGGGGTGGGGTGTTTCAATCTACCATCCTTATAAAAAAATTTCGTCCTCGAAATTTAAAATAACATACTACGCTGAAAATACTCGAAAATAGGAAGAAGAAAAATAATATACATATATGTAACGAAGAGATCAGGTAAGAGCGGTTACACAAAAGGGAAAATGCCACGCTGTCGTGATCGGCTGCAATGATTCCATCTTTCGTGCTCCCAGGCTCATACTTTCTTTCCCCATCAGTGTAAAAATAGAAAACATACTTTAATAAAATATAAAGTCGAAAACACAAAATAATTTAAGGTCAGATAACGCCAACATAGATAAGTAATAACATATAGGCCAAAAACTCGAATCAACTTAGAAATGAAAACAGAATTACTTTTCCAAAGACATTTGTAACGCCAAAACAATTAACTAGAGTAAAGGGAGTTCAAAATACTTATACTGAAAATCAAAACTAAAAAAATAAGAGTGGGTCTCGTCCAAGAATTCAAGATGTCACGTACTCCGAAAATAGATGTCACTTTAGGGCGAGTCCCAAGATTAACAATTCCGAATCTGCATCAGCTGCTGGAGACGAATCTTCTTGCCCACTTGCTTAACGAACCCAACAAATAAACTATCGATATCACAGTCTGCAGCCCGCAATATCGACCTCACATTTGTCTCGATAAGCAAGTAGTAATTTATCAAAAGGGTGCACAATTTCACATATCGTAGGATCGATCCTCCAAATACAAGTTCGCAAGACTTTTCAGTCAACTAGTGTTGTCCATGAAAAACTATCGTACCAGGTCGTAAAAAGTGCCATACACCAAACCGAACAAAACAGAAACTGTCCTCGTAAAACTTTATCCAGCACCAAGCATCCTATCCTCTTCAGTTCTTCCAAATGTGACCAGCAACTCCAAAATTTTGTCAACGACGAACTCACTTGATAACCGTACCTTGATATACCGATGTGATGCCTATGAATTCTAGTAAGATGTTGATACAATATGCTGACCTTTGTACTAAAACCTTCAACCAACTCTTACTAAAAGACCGCTTAAACCTCGTACCCACGTGCTCTCGAACTAAAGGATCCTGGTGAGAGGTAGTGGAAAGCTACGCTGCGGTGCGTTGAGGCGAACACATCACATCATCGAAAAGATCTACCAGAGTACGATATGATGGCGATGAAGATAATGATGCAATCTGCTGATCAACTGCACTACAATCTTCACCAGTTTCTTACCAAAAGATGACTTAAACTTCACACCCACGAGGAACTTTTTCTGGTAAGTCTGGTAAGCTTGTCAAAATATTATGCTCCCAACATTCCTGTCCAAAACAATAAGAATTGGGCGCACACTTCCGCCGAATCGATCGATCGTGAATTCCTCACTGATTGAGCGAGAAACCATGTCGAGAAGGCTAAAAGAACACTCAAGAATTTGAGAGTCAAAACAAGTCCATTAAAACTGGAGTACAAGATATTGCGATT